TGTTCTTGTCAACTTTATCCAACCAATCAAAATCCTTTTGACAAACAAAACGTATCCTTGGCACGGAATAATCAATGGCATGCTCATGGGAGGCCGGACGGAATATCAATATGATCCATGTATATGATCTGCATAGAATGGAAAAGGACATTAGCCAACAAAAACATAAATGCGAGCTATAGAAATGTATAAAAGGTTTCATGCAGCAAAGGAAAAAATGCATGTATTTCATTTTGTTGCGTTGCATACCGCTAACATGGGAAGGCATGAAGCGATCTGAAACTCCGCTGCTTTTTCTGTATTTGCTTGCATCCTCTTCTTCTCTTGAAAGACTCCAACCTCCTCCATCGCTCGTGCCAACAAGTGCTCATCCCAAGCGAATTCATGCACCAAAGACATATCTTCCAAGGAAGCTAGATACTCGAGATTCACCATATTGCCAGTGCTTGGGCACAAAACTGTTGCCAACGCAAGGAGTGTCCAAGTCCTATTTATCATAACCACGTCCTCATCACTGCAACTAGTGAGCAACTTGACAACATGGGCGATTGGAGCCCTGTTCCCCTCCTTGTAGATGCTGTGAAGATCATGTTCATCACTCTTCTTAAAAAGCTTCACGGGTCTATCACCGGATGGCACGTTGAAAATCCTTTTCACCATGAGCTTGCTGAAGGTGATGGACTTGTTCTTGTGTTTGAACTCAGAGAGTATGTGATTCGTGTTCATCACAACAAACTCAATGAGCTCATGGGGCACCTTGAAAGACCGGATGTCCAACAAGTCTCCAAACGGTCCCTCCCTTATGATTCTCTGTTTTTCTGGTGATACTTGCTTCCCAATCTCAGCCAGCCTTTTTGAGTTAAACCTTGACTTAAAGCCACATAGATTGCCTTTCTTCTTGGTCTTCTTCTTAACCTTCTTACTCCCTTCATTCTCACCAGCGGTGCCTGCGACATCTACAAAAAGGAAAAAAACAAGTCAATAAAACCCTAAAACTGCATCATCAGTAACTAGGAAAAAACATACAAAAACACCTAAAAAATCTGTAAAACATAAGAAACATACAAGCACACATAAAAAATGTACAGAATAAAACATGTCCTTCAGTTAGCACAGCATTAGGGCCATGTTTGTTTCGCTTCAGCATTAGGGTCATGTTTGTTTCACTTCAGCCTTAACTAAGAATTTTGTGAAAAATAATATTTAACAAAATTACTACATGTGATGATCAGGTATTTTGACCATAACTGCCATTAGCCAATTTGGGGAGACAGACCTATTATTACTAGCATTGGCTGTAACTTGTAAGTGTCATATTGCGTTGTCCCTACCATGTCTAGTTTAGTCCCACTATTCTCTGAAGTTTGAGTAGTGACTGGGAAATATGAATAAGCTGCATTGATTAGTAAAGCATCTAGTTCATATGCTAATGTTCAACTTAGTAACATATACAAATGTAACCTTCAACGAACTGATTATTTCTACTAATCATTAGTGACCCAGAAATGTTAACACGAGACCATCAGACCGGATAATGACTACTCAAGAAAGTGTGATGCAACAATGTAAAATCCATATAACTGTCTGCTGATGAAATAAGCAAAGCCATATATACCTGGATAAATAACCTGAAATCAGATGGTTTAGCACTAGCATTACACAAACCAATGATGGCAACCCATGGCAGCAGTAAGCAACACTCACAAATACAATACAACCAGGTTGATCATTGACATAATGCAGGCACTCCAAAGTATGGATCATTGCAAGAACAACATGTCCTTCACTTAGCACAACATTAGGGCCATATTTGTTTCACTTCAGCCTTAGAGAGGAAAAAATCTTGCAGGTACCAAGTACTACTCCAATGCACATGGAGTAATAATTATTCATGTTTGCTAGGTACTAGTACTACTACTACAATGGTCTGAAATTAGTACGTCCCTCCCTGACACCCTGTGGCAGTAAATCTCATCATCACGGTGATCTAGCAAAATGATTGGGCACAGCGTGCACACCCAGTACAGCTACAGTCTTACAGAGTAGTAGCACCAGTACTACCGACGGAGAAATGCGATGGATGGACAAACAACAACCTGTCACTTGTCACCAGAAATCTCCCACCGAACGCGGGGAGCTTAACACTCCGTCCTGCTGAACGATTCAAAGGGACTTTCCTCCAGATTTTAAGAAACGGAAGCACCAAACGCGTGCGCGCAAAGCCAACACGCAGCCTGGTTCCGGCCGCTTCCAGCTCACTCCGTCCCCTTGGCGCCGTGATGGAACATAGCTCAGGACAGGAAACATCGAATTTCCCCGAACAAGACGAGATCCAACCCTAATCCCAATCCCATTCCAAATCCCTCTTGAACACAAGATTCAAATCCACCACCCCGCCCCCTCCATCTGCCCGCTGGAACACCACCCGCCCCCTCCCTCTGCCCACGGGAACACCACCCCGCCCCCTCCCTCGACCCGCGGGAACACCACCCTGTCCCCGTCCGC